AGTGAAAAAATTTGATATTTTTTTTAAAGAAATTTGAAAAATGTGAGGTTTTTATTCAACTAAATTAGAGAACTTGAAATTTAAATAAAAGCGTATATTTATTTTAAAAATAATTTTTTGACTTTGATTTTTTTGTTTAAATTTAAAGAATTCTTAAGAAAAAGGAGAAAATAATTGTATTTTTTTTTGTTTATATATCATCTAAAAAAATTCTAAAAAAAAATCTTATGAACAATAAAAATAGACATTTTGGTTCTGGAAGGCCCCATAAACAATGGAGTGTTCTTGGAGAGCGAAGCAAAAGAAAAAAAAAAAAAAAAGAACTAGCCACTGAACATCACGAAGCTCTATTTTTAGCTTCAGCAAAAAGTGCAAATGCTGCTGGAGAAAGAAAAAAAAAGCCTCTATTTTAAAAAACAATTTATCTAATGTTTTAGAGATAGAAAAAGCTGATGAAATTTTGGATAAAACTTTTCCTATTATTATGAGTGTAGAAGAAGCTCTTGCTTAAAAATGATTTAAAATTGCATTAAAAATGAATACTGATCTCAGGATAAAAAATATCAAATGATCAGAAACTTAGTTCTTGTACACAATGAACATATTTATCCTACCTTGCACGATATTTTCGTGGAAAAATTGAAATGCTATCCAGAAAACATACATTTTCCTGAAATTTCTGTAAAGTGTACTTTTTAAAGCATGTTTATGAAAAAATTATTTTTACTTTTGAAATAAAAAATCATTTTCATTTTAATATCAAGTAACAAAGGGCACTTAATATAGCCTGACTTTTTGGTTTTAATTTAGAGAGTAATTTAGTTGAATAAAAACCTCTAAGAAAAAGGAGAAAATAATTGTATTTTTTTTTTGTTTATATATCATCTTTTTTTTCTTCTGTTATTCTACTCACAGATAACGCTGTGAGTAGAATAACAGAAATGATTGATATGCCTAATTTTGGTCAAAGTGACGAAATATTTGGAACTTTATATGGAAAGATTGGTTTTGATGGAGCATCAAGCCAAAATATTTATAAATAGAATTACAATACAAGCAACGCAAGTATAGAACGTAAGCATGAAGAAAATCTTTTCAGTACAGCTTTTGTGCCTTTATTGCTCAAAGTAGAAGATGGTGAAATTTGGAAAAATGAAAATCCTTCAAGCTGTCACTTTTGTAGACCTCTTCATCTACAATATAAAAAAGAGAGTCCAATTTTATCCAGAGAAAAAAAATCAGATCTAAAAAATCAAAAAAATACCTTAAAGACGTTTTGCAAAGTTTTTAATATTGTAGGAAGAACTTTGACATTTAATATCAGCTATAGAATTGATCTTACAATGTTTGATAATAAAGTAGTTAACGCACTTACAGAGACAAAATCCACTCAATCCTGCAATGTGTGCTAATCCTGCAATGCTAAAACCGAAGAAAAATAAACAACATTGATTTATTAAAAGCAATATTGATTTATATATATATATATATATATATATATATATATATATATATATATATATATATATATATATATATATATATATATATATATATATATATATATATATATATACATATATATATATATATATATATATATATATATATATATATATATATATATATATATATATATATATATACATATATCGGTACCTCGGAGGGATACAACACTATGTCCATTTTTTTCCATATTGACTTTATTACAGAGTTAAAATCAGCTTTTCTCATATTTCTTAGAGGAATAGAGCACTATGTCCAAAACCAGTTAGAACCGGATATAGCATGTTTTAAAACAACGCCAAGTCCACTTTCATTTAGAGGGATAGAACACCATGTGGACTTGGTGTTTTATCCTTCTGAAGCATGTGAATTACTACTGGATATAGTGTTGTATACCTCTACACAGCCTGGCGGATTGTTAGTGAACTAAGAGCACTTTTGACAGTTCTGATGAGTTTACATACCGTGCGTTCGTTTATACCCACCTGGTGACTTGCGGTTAACTGGAAGTCACTTTCCCGTTCTTTTATGGGTACTTGAAGTCACTGTAACTTACCACAAGCGTTCTTTTATGGGTACTCGGTAAGTTCAGTTACTTCCTCATCTTAGCGTAGTTTGGACTTCGGCGAGATCGGTTGACATGCGCAGTGTGTCATCTAGGTGGCGCTTACGTGCTGTCGCCCTGGCAACCTATTCTCAGCAGCCAATAGTGTCAAAGCTTCATAGCTAACTAACCGAAAGCGTTCGGGAGAAACAAGTTAACTGCAACTTACCAGGTAGATACAAAAGAACGCACGGATAGTTGGATGTATTTTAAGTCATAATATTTGCTCTTTTTTAGTAATAGTAAGAATAATGAACCATAATTCTCGTGGGAGAAAGATTCTGGAACTATTGAAAAGTTCTAAAAAAGATTCTACTACAGGTAAGCTACTGTTTTGCTCATTATTTTTAATGTGATATACATAACCTCAAACAGTTAATGTAATGTTTTGTTATGAACCTAAACTTCAAAATATTATGTTTTACATGTAATATTACAAGACTTGTTTTATTTCAGAACCAAGTCATACAAACAGCAAGGATGTTGAAAATGAAGAGGATAATGGAGATGACTTGCGTTTCGACGAAGATGATGATGATTCTGATCGGGACAAAAATTATGAACCTCCAAGCTCTGAAACGGATTCCAGTGATGATGTCCCTGTATTTAATGAAATACAAAATGAGGTCAGTAGAAATAAAACTAGTGCTAAAACAAACTCAAATGGACATGAGCTACGTTTACTCGAGGAAGACTTAAATTTGATTGCAGAAAATCAAGTAGGCCTAGATTTGCAAGGAACAGTGGGCGTAAGGAGAAAAGTGAAAGATAAATCTATTTCTACTCAGATAGGTAAAAAACGTGTCGTTCATACCAGTGAATGGCCATGTAATATTCAGAAACGTAAATATTCTGCAGGTGAAGAATATATTAGTAAAAAGGGTAAAGTTGTCCCTGCCAGAAATATTAAACCTCCTTGTTCTTGCAGACTGAAATGTTCTGAAAAATTATTACAGAATATTTAAAGTGACAGACAGGAGATCTTTAATGCATACTGGAGTCAGGAGAAGGGAAATGACATAAAACGGCAATTCATTGTTTCATGTGTAGAGAAGCATAGTAATGTCCGTTCAAGAAAACGAGACCTTGCCTTCAATAAGTCAAAACAAAATACTCTACAATATTATTTTACAGTAAAAGGCATACGAACTAGAGTATGTAAACCTATGTTTTTAAATACACTATCTATATCAAACACCGTGGTAGTTAATGTTTTGAAATATATTGAACCAGGTAGAATTGTAAAAATCGATCAAAGGGGTAAGCAAACTCCCGTCAATAAAACACATAATGACACTGTTGAAAGTGTAGTAAGACACATCTTTTCCTTCCTAAATTATAGCAGTCATTACACTAGGGAAAAGAGTGATATGGAGTATTTGGGTCCGCACCTGAACATAGAGAAAATGTATGAACTGTATGTAGAGGATTGTAATGAAAATGATTTCAACCCTTTGTTAATAGCTAAAAAATGGCTCTACTACGATGTGTTCAACAAAAAATTTAAGTTGAATTTCAAACCACCAGAAATAGACACGTGTGACACATGTGATTATATCAAGCAAAATTAAAAAATAATAATTTGACTCTAAATGAAAAAAATTCTATTGAGGAAGACCATAATGCACATCTGGATGAATCTAAATTAAGGTATGATTTAAAAAGCGAGGACACCAAAAAGGCTAACAATACCCTTAAGGTATTAACGGGTGATCTTCAAAAATGTTTGCCGTCACCCCTTATAACAAATTGCATAAGCTTTTACAAGAGAAAACTTTGGACGTTAAATTACACCCTTTTTGATTCTTCTGATTCGTCAGTCCATTGTATTATGTGGGACGAATCCAAAGGAGCTCGTGGCGCAAATGAAATCGGATCTGCATTACTGAAATGGGCAGATACCGTCATTCCTGGCAGTGACATTGAAGAAATCATTCTGTGGTCGGATAATTGTTACGGCCAGAATAAGAATATTAGCCTTATTATGTGTTTCTTTTGGATACTCAATAAGTATCCTCAAGTAAAATCATCAGTTAAAAGTTTATTCTAAAGGGCCACACGCATATGGAGGCGGATACTGTCCATGCACTGATAGAGCGGAAGAGAAAAAAACTTAACAACATGACAATTCTAACGCCCTGGGATTGGCAGCAGTTAGTCAGACAGACCTCAATGAAATATACTGTGCATAATATGGAACTGGAAGATTTTAAAAATTTTAGGTCTTTGTACGATGTCAAAACATGTGAAAATCCACCCTTTGTTAATAGAAAAAAAGATGTCAACAAAGAACAAGTTCTTCTGTCAACCTGTGTTCAACTGCAAGTAAAACAGAACAGCATGGGAACTCTATTTTTGAAAAGTAATTTCGCTGATGAAAACCAGGAGATTGACCTTGTTAGGTTTCGAAGGCGACACCTTACATTGCCAAACGATTTGCAACTGGTAACACCAAGTCCAATACCAATATCACAACAAAAGTATAATGATCTATTGGCATTAATACCATATATTCCTACAGTTTGCCATGACTTTTTTAAAAACTTAAAGCATACTAGTAATACCACTAGTGAGTACCCTGAAGGAGACTTACCTGATGATGACTGAGTTTTTTGCATCTAAAATACCATTTTAGTTGAATACATAGATGTATTATTTGTATTTGTAAAGTCAATTATAAATAAAATAGTTAAATACATTTTGTAAGTCAAATAGTATTGTGTTTGTTATTGAATATCCCACATTAGGTCTTATAGAACAATAACTTTATTAGAGGGATACAACACCATGTCCATTAAAAAGTGAAAAAAAAAAACATAAAAAATTTTTTTATTTTATTTTATAACAACTGCATGATGTAAATAACAATAAATAGAATCTTCTGGTAAAATATTGTTTCAACATCTCAATAAATAGCTGTGCCAATAACACTTTTTGTTGAAAAAAAGTTTAAAACTCCTCTCCTGTAAAGTTGTGAAAATGGACATAGTGTTGTATCCCTCCGAGGTACAGGTACAGGTATATTATATATATGAATCTATAATTCTATATTTAATTTATATTTAACTGTAAGTTTTATTAATAAACTCTTGAGCATTTTATTTCTATTGGTTGCACTTTCTGACTTTTTTTAAACCGAGTTTTTTCATATGAGTATAAGTTCTATAAAGATGGTATCTTTTTAATGAGGTTTAAGCATTTTGATAACTCTTTTTGTCTTGTGCGTCTGTTACGCTCCTATGATAAGAATAAATTTACTATCATTTTTACTGTTCATCATTATCATCATTATCATTATCATCATCATCATCATCATCATCATCATCATCATCATCATCATCATCATCATCATCATCATCATCAATTTTGACTATCTAAATGCATAACTTACCTCTTTGTAAAAGTATTCGAAATTGCTAACAATTACTGGAATTGGAATAGCCACCACTAAAACACCTGATATGGAGCAAAACATTCCTATCATTTTACCAGCAAAAGTTACAGGTACAACATCACCGTAACCAATAGTTGTCATTGTGACTACAGCCCACCAAAGAGAGTGAGGAATGCTTTGAAAATCTGGATTTATTTTTCCTTCTGCAAAATAGGCAGCGCTTGCAAATAATATTGCACCGATTGCAAGAAACATAACAAGCATAAAAAGCTCTTCAGAACTTTCTTTTATCGTGTTAGCAAGAAGGTGAAGACCACGCGCGTGCCTAAAAAGTTTAAATACTCTAATTACGCACAGTATTCTAATGACTTTGAGACATATTATATAGTTCGCTGAGCTTTTAGAATCAAATGCAAACTCCAAATAAAACGGTATTATTGATATTAAATCAACAATGTTTAAAATCGATCGAGCAAAATAAAGACGATCAGGTGCAGCAAGGAAACGTAAGAGATACTCCAATGTGAACCAAGTGTTGCAAAGAGAGTTAATAACCAGCCATGTTGTTTTCATATGTTCGCCTTCTTTATTATCAGGATTCAAAGAAGGAATTGTTTGTATGCAGAATATTACGATTGAAAGTAGTATTATTGTCAAAGAAAAAATTGCTAAAAATTGAGCAAGTCTTGACGATTTTGGATACTTAAACATAATCCATATTGTTTTTAAAATCGGGTTAGATGGTACATGTAACTCTTCCTGAAAAGCTGATGAGTTATACTTTTCACAATGTAGCTTCGTTTCTACAAGCTCAAAAAATATAAGTTCCTGGGTAAATATTTTTTCTGAAACCTCTTCCGGTTTCTCTAGTAAACCATTAGATTGGTAATAATTTAAAATGCCACTGAAAGCCTTCCTGTGTCGGTCAAAAAAGTATTCGTGTTTTACTAGGTTATAAAAATGCTTTCTTTTTTCGGGGTTTCCAAGTAACGTGTTCGGAAAACGCTCTATCGTTGTGAGAAAAGTTTCGTATCGTTTTCCAGAGACGTTTATTACAATTACGTTCTCCTCTGGCTTCAAAGAGGATTTTGACGATGCCTCGCAATTTCTGGAATGACAGAGGAGATTAGACAATGCCATATCTGATTTTGTTGAGAATATTGGTAAACTTGAATTCATCATTTTATTCATTGATATCAATATCAATATAAAAGTATCGACAATAAAAACGCCTAGCAACTCACAAAACAATTCAGGTTTATAAGAAAGCACAAACACTATTGAAAAGCATTCAGTTAAGATTCTAATAGGAGATGCAAAGAATATTTATCTAATACTTGCCCTTCTAGAAATAAGTTTTGTTTATACTTTGTAGATGTTTTGAAACATATTTTCAATAATTTAATAAATATTATAGATTAAATTTATTTTGTAAAATTTAAATCCATACTAACGTGTCATAATGTGTATTCTACAACATTTCTTCCATTTTTAAATTGCTAAATTTTTTTAATGGAATAATAGATAGATTGAGGTGGTTGTTCAATCCGAACTCAATTGTAATTAATAAATAAATTCAATCCTTTTGGAATATCGGAAAAAACTTTACCATTCAACACACACAGATTTTATAAACCATATGTTTAACCATACAATTGACAAAATTTAATTATAATTTGTTATTTTTAATTTGATCTTTTAAAATTTAGTTAAAAACTAGTCAACTGAGTTACCTACTAACCTAAATTAACAACAACCTTTTAAACCCAAAATTAAGTAAACAAAACAATAAAATCAATCATAATAACATTATTAAATGCTTAATATTAAATGACCAAAAACAAATTCATTATAGTTATATAAAAAAAGATGAAGAAAAAAAAAAAGTAATGTATTTTACAGAATGCATTGATTTTTTAACTTTTAAAACATTTATACCAGTGAATGATTTTATAAATCATTAAAACGTTAAAAAAAAAAATTTATCAACATGCTCCCAACAGAATTCTTACATTACATTTTTCTATATTGTTATGACAACACATGAAACATTTCTAACTTTTTTTTTTTTTGCAATGGAGAGTGCGCTTGAACACTCTTAAAGTAAATTTCTTTCTTTAATCATTTAATAATTAAAAAAATAAATTTACTTTAAAAGTATTTAAATTTTTATAAATTCAACAAAAATCGTCTAATTTTAATGTTTTTTACGTAGTACAGATATTTCAGTTTACTTTTACAATTTATTAATAGCTTCAGGAAAATAGTTTTCTTGATCGCTTTGATTTCTTTCTTTTATACTCTATTTTGCTAAAAGATTTTAAAATAAAAATTCTCTGGTAAGTTTGGAGTATATTTACAGTTTTTATATAAATAAAATCTATATCAAAAAGATACCATTATATGTTCTAATTTCAGGGCCTACGACACGGGTTTTAAAGTGAGGGGGTGGACCAGTGGACCACAATCGTCAATTTTTAAAAAAAGTCCTCTATATATAGAATTGATTTTTTTTTTTTTAAAAAGTCCTTTACAAAAAAAGTGGGATAGGGGCGTGGCACTTATCCCCCCGGTGTTGTCGGCTCTGAATTTTTATTTATTAATCAATATTTTTTATTTTTTTGATTTAATATACAAAAGGAACGCGATATAAAAGTTCTAAAAGACATTTTGACATCGTTTAATGACGTGACGCATAAAATTTGAAGTAAACAAAAGATCTTCAGGTTTTTGCTAAAAATGAAATTGTTAAAAATTACAATTTATACAAAATTACATATTCAAAAATTTAACCTATAATCTGAATAAAAAAACTATAGCTATGACTGGCAACGTTGTTTTAATGTCACGAATAAGATAGAGGGGGTAGTTGTTTTAATGTCACGAATAAGATAGAGGGGGTAGTTGTTTTAATGTCACGAATAAGATAGAGGGGGTAGTTGAGCAATTTTTACTAAATCTAACAGATCTCAAGAACGGAATGTCAGATTAAAGTAATTTTTTCACTATTGGAAAGATAATTTAATCTGCTAAAAATCGGTCAAATATATATACATTTTTTGATTTGTTTATGAAAACATTGTTTAAAGTTTACTGAGCAGCTCAACCTGCTCCAACGACGTAAGTTGAGCAAATGTGAATGGCAAATTGAACAATCAACTAACATTTAAGTGGTAAGTTGGATAAATCGTCAATAAAATTATCATTAAGTAAGTGTTTCTATAATTTATAAATATTTTATTTTTTTCACTTTAATGACGTAAGTAATAGAAGAGAAAAAGTTAAGTAGAAAGTGTTATCTTGAAGTCCGATTTAAAAATTTCAAAAACTCTTTCTTATCAATAATGGTTCTTCAAGTTCGATAGTTCAATTTTATTTATTTTTAAAGCTGCTCAACTTGCCCCTACCAGACAAGGTGACAACTTACGTTCAACTAGCCCCGCCCTACTTTACAAAGTATTTGTTCAAATCTTAGAAAAGTCTATATAAATTTTGGTTATAAAGTTGAATACAAATTTACAAGATTGCAGATTAGAATTGTCATTATTGATTTCAAATCTAACAATTGCAGACAATATTAAAGCAGTTTGTACTAAATCAAATGACCAAAATTTAAGCAAAACTATAAACGACGAAACAGATTCAAAGTTTTAAACACAATTATTAGAAAATCTAAACCAAGTTACAATTTATGCTGAAAATTTCAGCAACTGATTCAAATAAGTTTGGAAAAAAAATTAGAGAGTGGTGTCAAAGATTTAAAACCGATAAACAAAAAAAAAATTAACTAAATCTTTACCATAAACATAAAATTAAATGGATGCAACCAATAAGTTAAAATTGTAATTTTTTTTTTAAATTTGTGTGCATGCTAGAATATATAAACAAGTAGAATTTACGCTGACGCAAATTAAATATTCTTTGTAGAAACTATAAGAAGTCGTGGAAGCAATATATTATATGATTATTGATTTTTTTAAACGAATAAATTTACTATTTAAATACATACAGTTATTTACAGTGTTCAAAATTATTTACAATTTAAAATAAATTAAAAAATATCGATTTATTATTACAAAAAAAATATATATATATAATAATGAAAATGATAATATAACTGGTTACTGATGATAAAATATAAGCATGATTAAATATAACAAAGTATTCCTTCGATTACCAACGCTCTTTTTATTATTTATTTTCGGATTTAGTTTATTGCGATTAGCAATTAACTCTTTGTAATTAAGGAAATGTTGTTTTGTTTCCCGTTGGAATTTTTTTCTTTATCAGATAAAAGTACCGAGGTAGTTTTCAATATTCGTAAAGTGTCTTTCATAGGTGACATCTTTTTAGTTAAGCTTTCGCGTTTTGAAATTTCTTCCTCTCTCGCACGTCTGTCATGTTCCTGTGGTATTTAAATAGCATTTAAATAAAATCTCCTGGGATGAACATTTAAATCAATATAAAGTATTGATTGAAAAATAACAGAATAAACTTAAAACTTCAAAATTCTTAATTTTATAACTTTAAAATTGAACAAATGTTAACTTTGAATAAATTTTAACTTTTAAAAAAATTTAACTTTTAAAAAATTTTAACTTACTTCTTTGTAAAAGTGCTCAAAATTGCTGACAATCACAGGAACTGGGATAGCAATAACTAATACTCCAGATATGGCACAAAATGTACCAATTATTTTCCCAACAAGAGTTGTTGGCACAACATCTCCATAACCCACAGTTGTCATGGTAACAATAGCCCACCAAAGAGAGTGAGGAATGCTTTGAAAATTTGAGTTTTCTCTTGTAGATTCTGCAAAATACACTGCACTTGCAAACAAGATTGCCCCAATTGCAAGAAACATAACCAGCATAACGAGCTCTTCAACACTTGCTTTGATTGTGCTTGCTAGCACGTGAAGACCACGCGCATGTCGAGAAAGTTTAAAAATTCTAACAATGCGCAAGATTCGAATAACCTTGAGAAATATTATATAATTTGATGCTTTAGAATCAAAAGCAAATCCCAAATAAAAGGGCATTATAGATACCAAATCTATTATGTTCAAAATAGATCGAGCAAAAAAAAAACGGTCGGGTGCCACAATAAAACGGATCAGATACTCAAGTGTAAACCAGAAGTTGCAAATAGAATTAAGAACCAGCCATGTTGTTTTCATGTGCTCCCCTTCTTTATGGTCAGGATCTAAAGAAGGAATTGTTTCAATACAAAACACTACAATGGATAGTAGTATTATCGAAATAGAAAGAATGGTTAAAATTTGAGCAAGTCTTGAAGATTTTGGGTACTCAAACATTATCCAAATTGTCCTGAATAACGGATTGGATGGAAAATTTAATTCCCCTGGGCAATTTACTGCATTACAATCGTTTTCAAATTGCAACGCCATTTCTCCTAGCTCAAAAAACATGACTTCCTGAGTAAATATTTTTTCTGAAACCGCTTCTGGTTTCTCTAGTAATCCGCTCGATTGGTAATAATTTAAAATCCCATTGAAAGCTTTTCGATGACGATCAAAGAAGTACTCACGAGTTATTGGGTTATAATAATGCTTCCTTTTTTCTGGGTTACCAAGCAACGTGTTTGGGAAACGCTCTATTGTTGTTAAATATGTCTCATATTTTTTTCCTGAGATGTTTATTACAATCACGTTCTCCTCTGGCATAATACTAAATTTTGATGGTGGTTCTGTATTTTTTACAGAAGTATTGCAAGCGGTACAGTTAGATATAGTTACATTTGGCTTAGTATTGAATAATGGTAAACTTTGATTCACTGTATTTAACTTACTTTCGTTTTGAAAATATCGATGATAAATACACCTAAAAGCAAAAACACCATTAAATGTTAAAAATTAATAAATATAACAACAAGAATGTTTAGGCTAAATACATGTGTTAATAAAATTTTTGATACCAAAGGCACCTAACAATGATAAAAGTTATAAATATATCATAAAATTTAAAATGTTACATTTAAAAAAAATCTAAAAATTTATTTGAAATCATTTTGCTTTTTCTTGTCTTTTTTTAAAACTAACAGTATGCGTTGGAGCTTACAACTTTAAATTAAGAATTATAATTAGGGGAAAGGCGCCTACGATGGCATACTGGTCATATTGTCATAAATATTGGTTATGGCAAAAAAATGATTAGATCAACATGTCTATACTGATTTTACATTAAAAATATGTCCTTTATGCACAAATATTGCTTTAATAATCAACAAAAGTCGATATTGGGATGTGCAGTTGTAGTTTTAATCTCTTTAAATATTTAAGATTGTGATTTTATTATTAACTGTGCAGAAATTTTCACATATTTTATTTCCAAGTTTTGTGCATTAAGTGGAATATTTATTTTAATTTTATCTTTTGAACAAGGCAGAAATAGCTTGTTTAAATGAAAATGATGACTTCTTTCTATAATGGCATACTGACGAGTTAGGTGTGTTGCAATATTGACGAGTGAAAAAAAACTTTTTTTTCCTCATAAAAATAACGTATTTGTTAGTGAAGTAAAGAAATTTTTACTTTACTAAAAAATATTTGGTTCAAAAAACACATATAACGCAATATCTCTTATGCGCATGCGCGAAATTCTACACTGCTGCTGTTTAGCACGAAAGGATGTATTAAGATGATTGCGCGTAATTTACCCTTAGTACCAACCAGCCCCATCCTCCCCTATGCCATCATAGGAGCAGTATTTGCCTATGATAGCATACTTGAGCTTTTTTTAAAAATAAAAATAACTAATAGAAAAATGAAACTGATAAGAACTCCTTGGGTTATTATTGTTCTACATGTAACAAAGAATGTATCCATATCAAAACTTTTGTGCTTGGTCTTCAGGATACTGAATAATGAAGTTTCAAAGTTAAGTATGCCATCATTGGCGCCTTTCCCCTATAGTAGAGATTGTAGTCATCTACTGAGTTGACGTATTTGTTACGCTAACATTCTTGTGCTTTTATGTGCACTTATTAACTGGCACTGTTTCGTTTTTTTTGTCAAAATCTGTAAATTATACAAACTTTAAAAATCAAAAACAAGTTTTAAAACTAGAGATTTTATAGAAAATCAAGTTAGTCTTAATTTGTTTATTGATTATTGCTTTTCTAATTTTTTTTCTTTTCTGCTATGTTAAGAATCCAATTAAGATTATTAATAGGTTGTTTATTATATTATTCTCGTCTTTTTTATCCTATGCTGTTTTATACTATTATTTTTGCATAGTTCTATAATGTTTAGATTTTAGTATTATTATGATTTTTGTTGTTTTAAAGAACATAGTAAAATCAAACAAAGAAAATAATTTAAATTAGTGAGTTAATTGAGTATGCAATATTAATAATTACGAATAATACTAAAAAAGTTTAAATTTATTATGTTTAGACGGAGGGAAGACCAGGTAGAGGAATAGAAATTTTTTTCTAATAAATTTTCAAAGGAATATCATGCCACTTTGTTCAATTAGTACGTTAAATCATTGGAAGAGTACAGTAGGTTAAATCATAGGTCGCATTTAGGGTTTGAAAATTTAAGTGCGAACAAATAAGTAATATATACAAAAGATTTGATTACCTCTACTAGATTTCAGTATCTTTACTAAAAAGCAAAAAAACTTTAATAAACCAAGTAAAAAAATTGCATTTTTGCTCGCATTGTGGACATATGTTTCTTTGGAAGAACACTACACAAGAATCTGCAGAGCCTCATGCCTGTTACTCTGTCTTCTTTACGGAAGAAGCAATACCATGACTGCGATTGTTTAATAGCTTTCTTATGTCTTAGTTGCCTAAAATCCGGATGTTGTTAGTGTTTTGTTCCATACTTGAGCAAATATTATACCAAACCTTTGTTTTATTTTCTTTGTTCTGGAACCAAAATTTATAAAGGTCCTGCTCCTAGTAATGTTCAAAAGCTTTAAAGACAGCCTTATCCATAAGCCGCAGCTCTTGAGTGATGTTACTTGGAAAGAAAACATAATGATTTTGTTTTTATCAGCAATATATCAGCAGTCTACAATATTGTGATCCAAGTGGCTGGATAGTCCATCGAAGATCGGTAAACATGGACCCATGCTATAAATTACATTATACCACCCATGATCATAGATAATATGCTGTAATTTATAGCATTTCCTCGGAAAACAATAGTTCAGGAAACATTTTCAGAAGCTAATCGACTCTTCTTATACGATTTTGTTCCAAAACTTGTAGACTTTTGTAAGCCATTAATTGACAGACTTTTTCATCAATGTTGCAAATTTAAGTCGGTTTACTTTGCAGAATCAAACTTCTCTATTATTTGTTTCAGTTTTTCAAAATAATCTTTTGCCACATATTTGTTGAGCTTCTGTTAAATATATATTCTATAATTATCTTTTGACTGTTTCTCAAAAAAATATCTGCATGACATTTCATAAATCCTATTAACCAGCCACGTCCAATTTTGTTGAGTTGGTAATAACAATATACAGATAATCTTAACAGTTTTGGTATGATAGAATAGTGGTTTGCGACCAAGTTGAGCCTTCAGTATTTGTTTTGTTTCTATGTAACTTTAAATGGTTCTCTTTGGAACATTGAACTCTTTAGCAAGGTATTCACCTTCTTCCCATTTTCAATTGCATTTAAAGCTGCTTACAGATCCTCTTGACTCCAGTTCCCTCTTAATCCTTCCTAATATAATAATCCATTAAACCCAATTTATTAGATATTCCTAACAAAAAATATCATAAAACCTTTCTTACTACTTCCATACTGAAAATATGGTCAAATCAGTGACCATATTAACGGATCTTTACAAATTCACAAACACTGCGCTATTTATGAAAACAAAAACAAAAAACGCTGAACCAGATGACCATATTGCCATACGTTATAACTATAAGACAATAGCTATAAGACAATAAGTCCACACACTTAAACAGCTATTTTTTTTAGGTAAAAGCAATTCTAATTTTGGTGAAAAACTCTAGACAAACGGTATACAAAATTCTGGTGTCCGTAACATAAATTTTTAAATAAAGTAGAAAAGTTACTGTACGTTGAACAATAACACTATTTAGTTGTCTGAATCATTTGTCTCTGACTAAAAATTTGTTTGAAACACTTTTTTTTTGAATAAAAGCTTTTTTTGTGTGTGCAAGTTTTAATTTAAAAATTTAATAAAGTCTTGCATCCGAGTATTGTATCCATCTTTGCTACCTCAAACTTTTTTAATCTCTGCTACCTCAAACTTAATGAATGAAGGACTTTTTTCAGCCTGTACAAAGATTAACAGCAATCATCATCCGTAATCTTCTGTTTCATTATGATGTGTCCGTAATCTTCTGTTTTTAGAACTCTGGTTATGGTTTTTAATATCTTAATTGTATTTGTATTGTTATTTTAATGTTTTAATAGCATCAGTAGGTCACTGGTTAAATGGCAAAAAAAAAAAAAAAAAAAAAAATAGATAGATTTCAAGAAGTATATTTTTGACAAGTTTCTAATTTCTTTAAAAAAGAAAGTTTGAAAGTTTTACACAAACTTACTAAACAAAGTTTATTGTAACTATAAAATATGTATGTTTTAGTTTGAGGTCAAAGTAGTGCACAGACACCATCAAATGCTCCAAAATTGACCACTGCAGCTCTTGTAAATGTGCAATTAAATACGGCCTGTCAAACAACAGATTAAAGAAACTTGTTAGAACTATAAACAAAACATCAAGAAGCAAGATGGTAGAGCAAAATTTCTACAAAAATTTTCTAAGACTAGGTCAACAATTGAGCAATTTCTTCACCTGCAGCGACTTAAAAACCACAGACGAAAAAACAGATTCTTGTACAGTTCATGTTGTTGCTCACTGCAATGATTTATCAAGTTTTGTGAATCATGTTATTCAGCCCCGCAAAATTTTTGGTGGCTATTTTGTTAAGCTCGGAATTGATGGTGGCAAATGTTTTCTCAAGTTTTGCCTAAGCATGTTGATACTGCGTTAAGAGATGAAACCAGCTCACCGCACCAATAACAACCTCTCACTCAAAGGGTGGTAAAGACACTGGAGTCAAGAAACAAATTATTGTTGGAGTTTCAGAAGATTTGCCAGAAACACACTCCAATATTGAACAAATCTGGTCACTGATTAATGCAAATGGAGTTAAACTAATTTTGGCTTGTGATATGAAAGTTGCAAATATAATTTGTAGTCTTTAAACTTATTCAAGTACGCACCCTTGCACCTGGTGTAACGTCAAATCCAATTTTCTTGCCAAATCTGGAAACTTGCGAACACTGGGCTCAATTAATTCAAGCCTTGAGTCTTTTCAGCAATCTGACGGGGTTGTTGCTAATGCAAAGCTGTTTGGCAATGTGATTCGAAAGCCAATCATCTGCGGGCCTATCAATGTTCTGATTTTGGAAATCATTTCACCAGGAGTTGTCAACGATCTTTTCAAGATCCTTAAAACTGCTTGGATAGAACCTGTTAAGTGGCCAGCCGCCTTCCACATTCAACTGATCCCGTATCACGGGGGCCAGTTTGAGGGAAGTGAATGCAGGAAGCTTCTTAAAAATGTGGATATGCTGCAGCAACTTGCTGAGACAAATATGGTTCCCAATATTGTGTGCATAATTGAAGCATTCAAAAGCTTCAATTTAGTTGTCAAGGCTTGCTTAGGATACATCCTTCAGCCGGATTTCGCTGAAAAAATTGAAAATTTCAAAAAGTGTTACCTAATGATAACTGGTGCAAGCGTAACACCCAAAATTCATACCGTCTTCTACCACATGAAGGATTTCATTAGTCATATAAGGATCCCCCTTTGGGCCC